AAAGGCGCCACGAGAACTTTGTATGATGTGACAAGGCACGTTTGCAATACCAATTCATATGCAAATATTATCATCCTTAATGACAAATTTGGTTGCTGGTCTTTCTAGTTTTGGTTAGGGTTGTTACAAAATTGTTGGCAGCCTTTTAAATCTCGGAAAACAATCATTGCAATAGGATGGAGAACCAAATTTGGAGGTCATTGCCAGACAATTGTTGAAAAACTGAAGATGGCAGAATCGAATTTGATTTGCAAATGTTCAAGCATTTACAGAAACAGGTTTTATGTTTTCAGTTGTTTGCGATCCTGAAATCGTTTGTATACTTTAGAGCTGAAAATATTAATTCTCCTTAACGATTGCCTATACTTGTTCTTAACTGTAGTTCTGAGAATTTGGTAGCACATCAAGATAATCTCCCAGTCGATGATTTTGTTTATCATTTTTGCTATACTTCTCTGCTTTTTCCTTTATACAGCACCTTGTATGTACCAGATATTGATTTTAGAAGCCTAAACTTTTAATATCTAGAGGTTAAACAAACGTTGGAACTGTTGTTAAGGTGGCACTTTCAAAAATTGAGTTATGTAGCAATTTATTTTCAAGTAGCTGTGGTACAACAATATTCAAAGAAAGCAATTCACTGCGAAAGACAATTATCTCGGTTATCACGTGGTTTTAGTCAAGATGAATTTCCCTTGAGCCATCCGAATTTCCTCAGGTATTCCCGCAACTTTCGTTAGCGTTGGGAAACCATCGGAAGTCCTCGGAAATCTTCGGGTGATCTCCGGAAATCTAATTATTTTCGGCCATCTTCGGAATACCTTCGGATGGTCGTCGGTAGCCGTTAGGAATCTTCATGTTTCTCATAATTCAATCGACTCTTTTGCCCAGAGTCGAGTAATTTTGTTTTTAAGTGCCTTGCAGATTATTCCATGTGAAGACAATTTATAAATGTTGCAAGATAATTTTGATAGTAGCAAGACAAATTTATTTGTTGCAGAATAATTCCGCTCGTTTCAAATTAATTTTAATACTCCTATTTACCTCCTTTTATATGAAAAAAACACTGAATATAATTTGGAGATTTAAATCGATCCGAAGAGAGTTTAGATTTGGCTATAATTTTTATTACAGAAAGACAATTTTATTTGTTGATGAGTGGATTTCGTTGTCACACTACAGTCCATTTAAATCTCGTTTTTGCTTAAATAAAACACCAAGTATTCCTTTGTTCGTCGATTCCGGGATAAAATGTGCGGGATTTTGGTCACAAAAATTAGATGGTTTTGTCACACACAGTACCACCTTAAAAACTCAACGCTGTTTATCCATTAAACTATAGAGCAGTTTCCCAGAGGCTTTCGACAATAATTTGCAAATAATTTGATACTGTTGTTTGGCACGATTCGAAAACGT